TTCACTATCGGTGGAGACAGCTGAGATATTGTGCCATTAGTGATGTTGTTTTAAATAACCTGATCCATTTCTGGGTCTATTTAATGAATTTCAGAGTTTAGATATTATCTTTAAGGAGAAGCCAGAGGCTATTCCAGAAACAGTGATGCAAATCAATGCTGCCAAGGCTCCTCTGCTTTTCTTAAAACAAAGTGGACTATAATTCCACTGCAGCTCCTTATATATTCTGGGAGTCGTGGCATGCTATTGATAGTATGAGCAATAAGAAAGTATTTGGACTTTATTGGAGGAGAAAACAATATTATCTGTAAAGCTGAAACACAGTTGATAAAATCTTATCCGGGCTTGTAAAACGGAGGGGATCGGTTCAATTCTTTATATGACAAGCCAGTGTTTTTTTCTTGGTTGTCTGTATGAAGCGCTGTGCATGTATGAGAAGATACCATCGAGGTAGGGCACGGCCCTGTCATCATTTCAGCTGAGCTGACGCGGGTCTCGTCAGGCTTCTGCTGCTCTGTGGATCAGCACCTTGGTCCCCAAGGGCCGAATCCTGTCCTACTTCGGTTCCTACAGACCCGCAGAGGCACCCAGGGTGTGATATGGGGTGCACGGCAAACCCGAGCTCTGCAGTGGCCAGAGGAGCGGTGTGGGAATCCGCCCTCGCACTGGTGGCCATCCCACCACGCTCTCGCTCCCAAGGGAAACTGCAGGATGGAAACACGCCAAGCTTCTCGTCACTTCGAAAAAGTCAGAGCCAAATCAAGACCTGGGGTGCTCTTGCAAAGGTATCACTGAGGGTCTGGAGCCCTTCCAGGAATGACAAAAGCAGTACAAATTTTTAAGAAAACACGTATGTTGCCTTTACTTTCGACAGCGTCTGACTCGGGTGATGTGCGTGTTTCAGAGGATGGAAGTTTTTCCCCAGGAACGCGATGTCTGAGGGAGTTTATCGTGGAACAGGGAACGAGCCCTGGACCTCGCTGGCTCGCTGGGCTGCTTTTTTTATTGCCGATGCTGTTTGGTGGCCGGTTCCCTGGGCTGTTGGCAGTGAGCAGCCTGGATGCAGACGCTGCTCGCTGTACCTGTGGAAAGCAGCAGTCGTTTTGGCAGATGGATGGAGACGCCGGGCACTTGCCGTGCTCCTGCGATCGCCTGGGGAAACCAAACTTGGTCCACGCAGCCACCTGCCTCGGGTGTTTAAAAAAAAATTAATAAATTAAATGGGAGGCGGTGCGGGGGCGGAACGAATTGCGGAAGGCTGCGGAGTGTTAACTCCGGTCGCC